TAATTGCAGAACACATGTTATGCATGCTTTAAGGACATTGGTGCACAAACAGTAATCCTACTGTGACTGTGAGCCCTCCCTTACCATTCCACTGAACCTAAAGAAACAGATTCTGGTATTGGTGGTGTTGCACTTGGAGACTGCAAACAAAATTTAAAGGATGCAACTACGTAAATTTAAGTGGCTTTGTAGCTGTTGGGAATATTTATAGCCTTTCCAATAGTTGAGGACGGGGACCAAATGATATAAACAGTGATATAAAAAGAACAAGTGAAAGAAACCTTGAGGCAGAGGTGGGAAATACAGTGGATGAACAAGGAGCTAAATTTCCCGGCTCTCTGCCTCCTATGCATGGGTAGATCAATGGACTTGGCGCTCTGAGGAGTAGATACAATGAGGACTGGCACACCACTGCCACAAGATGACGATGCATCTGCACGAGAAGTTGTGCAGGGTTGAGTGGGGCTGTGGGAGTGTGTTGGAGGGGGGAGGTGTTAGTCTCTATAGTGTGTACAACACCAACAGGATCTGGTAATACAGAAAATAAGAGCAGGAGTAGGCCATTTGGCCCTTCCAGCCTGCTCCACCATTCAATATGGTCATGGCTAATCATCCAATTCAGTATCCTGTTCTTGCTTTTATCCCATATCCTTTATTCCTTAGAACTATATTTAAATCCTCCTTGAAAACATTTAATGTTTTGCCCTCAACCGCCTTCTGTGGCAAAGGATTCCATAACCTCACCACTCTCTGGGTGAAGAAATTCCTTCTCATCTCAGTCCTAAATGGCCTAGCCTGTATCCTAAAACTGTGACCCCTGGTTCTGGACTCCTCGGTCAACTGGAACAGGTTTGTTACATTTGCCTAATCCTGTTAGACATTTATAGGTTTCTAAAAAGATCCACTCTCACACTTCTAAACTCCAGTCGCTATACCCCTAACCCAGTCTCTTCATATGTCAGTCCTGTGTCCTAGGAATCAGTCTGGTAAACCTTCATCACAATTCCTCTATAACCAGAACATCCTTCCTCAGCTATGGAGACTAAAACTGCACACAGTACTCCAGGTATGCTCTCACCAAGGCCCCATATAATTGCAGCGACACATCCCAGCTCCTCTACTCAAATCCTCTCGCTATGAAGGACAACTTACTATTTGCCTCCTTCACAGTCTGCTGCACCTGTATGCTTACCTTCATAAATGCATGTGTCAGAAGATGAATGCTGTTCTAACAACTCAATGATGGAACAATTAACATTGATGTTCCTCAATTCAGGCATCGCAGTAACTGGTTTGAATAATATTAGTTGTTCCATCATTGAGCTGATGTCTGAATTGAGGTGCATCAAAGGGATGGAAAATGTATAATGTGTAGTAGAGCTGCTCCAGCCACTCCAATTCTAATTCTGGAACCCATCACATTTGACTTTTGGACTGTTGTGCATGTCAGAACACTGGACCCCAACTTCTACCAGCAATCCATGCAGGGTAATCCTATGATTGCTTTGGTAGCTCTCAGCCAGGTCAACTGCAAACGTGCAGCCTTCAAGATTGGAGAGTTGCTTCCAGGACATAGTGTGGCCTCAGTCAGAAGTCATACATGCAGGAAGGAACCAGGGACATAAGCAGGAAACATGAGGAGCAAGCAGCACCAGGCTGAAGAAGCAGGAGTCCTGAATAGTGAGCTACAACACAAAAGAAGTAGGAGCCACGAAGAGAACAGCCCATGGCCTTTGACATTGTTGAAGAAACAGTGAGAGGAATTGGAGCAGATACACCAATAGAGACCAAGGAAGAGTTTCTGAACAGCCATGAAAGCCTACTACCCCACTCCATTTCCTCAAGTTTGAGAAGTCCTAACATGGTCTGGATCCCAGCTCACTCATTCAAGGGGAATTAGCAATACTGATCCCACAAAGTGTTCTGGTTCTCCAGCTGGTTTCTTGGCTGTGTTTTAAATCTAGTTTTCACCCCAAAACCACTTTACAAAGATTAAGAATAGGGGTTAAAACAGAAAGGTTCAGGATCACTAACCATCTCCCATGCTAAACACAAGGCATCCATGCTTCCACTGTTTAATAACCAAGTCTACAACACAGCTGACCTGAGACCAAGAAATGATCTCTCTAGAATGTTGACCTGGTGGTCATCCATTGTAAGAAGTTCATTCCTTAAAGAAAAACTTTTACATGAGTACACTTACAGATTTGATATGAGTGGAAAAAAAATCACCATGCCTGAACTTTTGTGCATTCCGTGTATTTTAATCCTGCATTATATACAGATCCAATGCATGTACAAAAGGAAAAGGTAAAATTATAAATGCACCTCATAAAGCATGCCCTTTAGACAGCTCTTGTGTTGTGCTAGGTTTTTTGGTTCAAGAAACATTAGTTCTGCAGAACTGGCTGCAAGTAAATGTACAGTGACTAGGGCTCGTCAAAAACTGACTATCGAGAGATCCATTTTTACTGATTCACAGGTGTTTTATATTCAGCTAGCCGCATAAGACTTTGTATTGCTAGGAACCAACAACATTAAGGTGAACTAATCATGCAAGGACAGATCGCAACACTGAATATCCATCATGAAGATGAGAGCTTATCAATATTCTAAAAGGGTCTCTATTTCACTCCTCATCTTACCTGCAGTGTTGCTCGAGCGAGCTCTTCAGCCTGCATATCCTGAGTCCCTACTGCCTGGGTGTTTTTTTCCAGGTCCAGCTCATTCTGTTTCAGATCACAAGCTCCAAGGTAGAAATATGGAGTTATAAACGGTGTCTCACACCTTAGAGACAGGCACCCTCGCTATCTCAGGTCGCCCTGTCCACTCGCTTACAATTTTCACTAAGGGATCGTGCCAATTTATGATCTTCAACATAGAGTAACCAGTGGGAAATTTTTGTGAAGAACTGCTTGAACTCCTGTCACTGACAACTCAGAAACAGTATTCAGGAAGTCAGCTCCCATTCTAGCCATGACAGTACACACAGTCTCTCCGTCTTTTTATAGCATCATTGTGCATGCCAAAGCATCAGTTGTTGCATTGCTCCCACTTCCCCTACCATTACCCTCATTACTATTCCAATTCTCCCTAATCACATCCCGTTCCCCTTCCCACCTCTCTTATTCCCCCACTCTCACTATTCCCCTCCCCAAGCTCCACCTCACTTTTCCCATTCCCCACCCTGGTCTCCCCATTTCATTTCCTACTCTCCCTATTTCGCCCTCCCTTCCCCAATCTCTACAGTACGGAAACAGGCTATTCGGCCCATTGAGTCCACACCAATCCTCCAAAGAGCATCCCATCCCACCTACTCTATCACCCTGTGACTAACCCACCTACCCTGCACATCCCTGGACACTTTGGGCAATTTAGTGCGACCAATCTACCTAACCTGCACGTCTTTGGACTGTGGGAGGAAACCAGAGCACCTGGAGGAAACCCACACAGACACAGGGAGAATGAAAGCTCCACACAGTCGCCCAAGGTTGGAATCAAACCCAAGTCCCTGGCACCATAAGGCAGCAGCGCTAGCCACTGAGCCACCATGCCCTTTTAACTGTCAATGTCTTCACATTCCAGTCAATCTTATGAAATACTCAGTGTTGTCTGCCACTGAGTGTGGGACTGCCTATGCTAGGAGACTCCCTCGATCACTGGTGTAACAACAATAAATGCATCGTGGAGAATGGAAGGATGAGCAGAAAGATCAGCATTTGTAGCATTCTTGGAATTAAAGACTTCTATAGAAAGAAAGAGTGACTGGTGTTGTCAGTGATCCAGCTTCTACTTGGCTGAATGAAGAGGAAAAAATGATGTGAGAGCATTCTTCTTTGCCAGATGGCACCTTTGTTTATTCAAGGGTCAGGAGCCACGGCTTTATGCTGTATTGTTGCTATTTGTAATTTGGAGAGGGCAAAGAGGCAGCTAGGCCTCAAATCTACCTCAGCTGGAAAATGGCTAGATGCTTGAACCATTGGTGTTGTTCTGAACCACATGTCAGACATCTATTCAAGTGAACAAGCTCTTCTCAAACTACCCCCTTAAGCACAATATCCTGATCCCAAACACTCCACAGTGGTATGATGTATCCATCGTGGCATCAAGCATATTTGAAATACTTAACTTTAAACTGCTATTCTTAGGTAACAACTAAAGAATACTATGAAATTAAAATAGATAAACACAGTACAACAGGTAAAGCTCCTAAAGCTGCCAACAAACCATCACATCTTCGGAGTTTTCGAAACACAGTCAGAATGAACAAACGTAGGAAGACTGAAATGAACAAATCCCTTTACACTTTTTCAACATATCCTGAATATAGACAGTATTGTGTTCCTGCATACTTTGAAATGCATTTTCTCTCCATATTAATGAGCAATTAAGTTATTTAAATCGCGAAGAGGTTAAGACCACCATTAAAACAACAGAGAGGAATTTGAGACAACAAGGTGCAGGGCTGGATGAACGCAGCAGGCCAAGCAGCATCATAGGAGCAGAAAGGCTGACGTTTCAGGCCTACACCCTTCATCAGAAAAGGGGGAGGGGAACGGGGTTCTGAAATAAATAGGGAGAGAGTGGGAGGCGGATAGAAGATGGATAGAGGAGAGGATAGGTGGAGAGGAAACAAACAGGTCGAAGAGGCGGGGATGGGGCCAGTAAAGGTGAGTGTAGGTAGGGAGTTAGGGAGGGGATAGGTCAGTCCAGGGAGGACGGACAGGTCAAGGGAGGTTAGTCGGTAGGAGATGGGGGTGCGGCTTGAGGTGGGAGGAGGGGATAGGTGGGAGGAAGAACAGGTTAGAGAGGAATTTGATACAACTGCATTCAGATTTCAAAGGCTGGAGTTGCAAATGGTCCTTTCTACTTCACAGTATCAATGGTCAATTCATTGTTTCCAGCTTTAATAACAAATATCAACACTGGGTTTACGCCACTTGTACCAAACGTGCACAGGAAAGGGCCACTCTGCCAGAGTCACCGATCATTGTACCTACCTGCTCATACATCATTTCTTCTTCCATCTGGAAATCAATTGTCTCATACACTGTATCCGTTTACTCTACAGATCGCAGAAATCCTACCTATAAATCAGAAAGAAGCAAAGTCACAGTTACAACAAGTTCCACCTAGTTTTGCTAAACTCTTTTCAGGAAGTTTCATTTCTTCCTACTTAGAGTCATTAATTATCTCATTAATCATAAAATCATGCAGTACAGAAGATGCCTTTCAGCCCATTAAATCTGCACCAACAGAAAATTACTCTAAATCTAACCTTGTTCCACTTTCCAGCATTAGGCCCATAGCCTTGACTGTTCTGACATTTCGAGCGCTCATCCAAGTAATTTTTAAGGTTTGTGAGGATCCCCTTCCCAGGCAATGCATTCCAGAATTTGTCTGAGTGAAAAAATATTTTCCTCAGATCCCTTCTAAGCCTCCTACTCTCGCCTTGAAATTATGCCCCTTGTTACTAAGCCATAACTAAGGGGAATAGCTGCTTTCTATCCACCCTGCCCCTATCCCTCATAATCTTATACAGCTCAATCAGGTCCCCCTAACCTTCTCGGTTCCAAAGAAAACAGCCCAAGCTTATCGAGCCTCTCTTCATAGCTAAACTGCACAATCCCAGGCAATATCCTAATGAATCTCCTCTACACCCTCTCCAGTCCAATCCCATCCTTCCTATAGTCTGGTGATCAGAATTGCACACAGTACTCCAGCTGTGGCCGAACTAAAATCTTGTACCGCTCCAACATAGCCTCCCTACTCTTATAATCAATGCATGATAGATAAAGGCAAGTGTCCCATATGCCTTCTTAACTACCCTATTAACCTGTCCTGTCACCTCAGGGAATTGTAGACAAGCACTCCAAGATCCTTCTGCTTCTCTGAGCTCCTTAGTGTCCTATCATTCATTGAGTTCTCCCTTATCTTGTTACTTCCTCTGCCACTGATCTGCCAATCTGACCAATCCATCTATATCCTCCTGTAGCCGCACAGTCTTCATGTCATCAGCAAATTTATTTATTATCTGCCTCTCATTTTCTTCTATAGCATTTCTAGATCTATCACAACCAACAAGGGACCCAGCACTGATCCCTGTGGTATGCCTCTGGATACTGGCCTCCAGTCACACAGACAGCTTTCAACCACCACCCGCTGACTCCTAACGTTCAGTCAATTTGTATCTAACTTACCAAAGCCTAGATCCATTTGCTTTTAACTTCTTTATCAGTCTCCTATGTGGGATCTTGTCAAAGGCTTTGCTGAAAGCCATGCAAATTTCATTAACTGCATTTACACACCTGGTCACTTCCTCCAAAAATTCAGTTTTGTTAGGCATGTCTTCCCTTTGACAAAGCCATGCTGACTATCCCTGATCAAACTTGCCTCTTCAATTGGAGATTAATTCTCTCCTTCAGAATTTTCTCCGGTGGTTTGTCTACCATTTCTGTGAGATTCACCATTCTGTAATTCCCTTGTTTATCCTGACCAGCCTTGCTGAAAAGTGGAGCCACATTAGCTGTCCTCCAGTTCTCTGGCTCCTCCTCCCTGTGGCTAGCGAAGAGTTAAAACTTTGTCAAAGCCCCTATAATTTCCTCCCTCACTTCCCACAGCAACCTGGGACATCAGTCATGCAGACTGAGGGATTTGCCTATTTTTAAGTACACCAAAAACCTCCAAAAGTCCCTCACTCCCTATGTCAAATTGCTCAAGAGCCTCACAGTCCCTCTTCCCAAATTATGTACCTGCATCCTCCTCCTCCAAAGTGACGGACATGAGGTACTCATTTAACACTCTATCAATATCCTCCAGCTCCACACCCTCTTGGTCCCTATTGGGCCCTACTCTTTCCCTGCTTATCCTCTTCCCCTGGATATACTTAAAGAATATCTTGGGATACTCCCTAATCTTACCCTTCAGTGTCTTCTCATGCCCCTTCTTTGCTCTCCTAATAGCTTCCCTAAGATCCCCCCTGCAACTTCCATACTGTGCCATTTCCTTTCCTTCTTATTCAGTCCAGGGTTCTCTGGGCTTGTTGCTCATACAATTCACACCAAAGGAAACATGCTGGGCCTTTACTCTCGCCAATTCCATTTTTGTTCTGTCATAGATTTACCCAGAAGTAATTGTGCTTGGGCCAGATCTTGCCTTATTTTAATAAAATCTGCCTTCTCTCAATCCAAACCATTTTTTTTGCAGACAATCTTTATTCTTTTCTGTGCCAAATTTGAAACGTAAGGTTTGTGGTCACTCACACTAAAATGCTCTCCCACAGCCAACTCAAACACCTCATACCAGCTTTGTTCCTCAGAATTTGTCCAGTACTGCACCACCCCTTGTTGGGCCATCTACATGATGATACAAAAAGCTCTCCTGAATACATTACAAGAAATCTACCCCCTCTAAACTATTTACACAATGACTATCTTCATTAATGTTGGGCAAGTTGAGATCCCCTAACCTAATTGCCCTCTTATTGTTTGTATACACCTTGGTGAATTATCTATATATCTGCTCCTCGAATGCCCACTGATTGTTTGGGGATTTATAACACACTTCCAGCAATATGACTTCCCTTTTTTCATTCCTAAGCTAAACCTACAAAGCCTTAGTTGAAAACCCTGAGCTTCCTTTTGAAAATTGAGCTTTTTCTCATTTGTGCGATGTGGGGATTGTTGGCAAAACCAGAATTTGTTGCCCATCCCTATTGCCTCCGAAACAAATTGAGTCAACTACATCACAAAGGGTCTGGAGTCCCATGCAGGCCAATTCAAGCCAGGATGGTAGATTTCCTTCTCTAAAGGAAATTAATGAAGCAGATGGGTGTTTACAGCAATCTATCATTGATAGGTTTTGTTTAATTAATTTAAATTCCACCAACTGTCATTTGAACATGTGTCACTGGAGCATTAGCATGGTCTTTTAGATTATTAACAAACTGACACTACCATAGCACCCCGCGCTCGCCAACTGATGGGAGCAATCAGAAGGCCAGATTAGTGTACTCTGTCAGTTTACAATGTTGGAGCAAATGACTGCAAATGCTGGAATCTGTACTGAAAACAACAAATGCTGGAGATCAAAGCGAGTCAGACAGCATCCATGGGGAGACAGCAAGCTAACATTGTGAGTTCTAGATAACTCTTCATCAGAGTTGAAGTGATGTGTGGAGGGGACAGCATTTATGTTATATTTTGGAAGGGGGGGGTGGATGTAGGGCGCTGGTGGAGAAAAGATGTTGGTCATTCAGATTAAGTGATCGGAATGTGAGAATGGCAGAATAATGGTGTGTCTCCTGCCAGACTTGAAAGGACAGACACTGGAATGGGGAGAGGTGAGAAAAGACATGATACCAAGCTAAAAGAAAGGGAAGAAATAGTTCACAATTTGAAGGTGTTGAACTCAATATAAAGTCCAGAAGGCTGTAAAGTGCCAAGTCTGAAGATGAAATATTGTTCCTCCAGTTTGTGCTGTGATTCACTGGAACACTGCAGCATGACAAGGACAGACGTGTAGGCATGCGAGCAGGATGCTATGTTAAAATGACCAGCTACAGTGAGGTCAGGATCTTGCTTGTGCGTAGACTGGAGGTGTTCCGCAAAGCGGTCACCCAGTCTGCGTTTGGTTTCTCCAATGTAGAGTAGGACACATAGGGTGCAGCAAATACAACACACAAGGTTGGAGGAGGTACACCTGCTTTACCTGGAAAGACTGTTTAGGCCCTTGAATGGTGAGCAGGGAGGAGGTGAAGGGATAGGTTTGGACCACCAAACACATCTTCCCCTCACTCCCTCGTCTGCATTTCACAGGGATCATTCTCTCCAGGACACCCTAGTCCATTCCACAACCACCAACACCACCCAACCATCTCCAAGACACCTTCCCATGTGACCACAGAAGGTGCAACAGAACACCAGGGTTCTGAAGAGGGGTCACTAGACCCGAAATGTTAACTCTGACTTCTGTCCACAGATGTTACCAGACTGCTGAGACTTTCCAGCGATTTCTATTTTTGTTTCTGAATTCCAGCAACCGCAGTTCTTTTGGTTTTATTTTTGTTAGAGGTGCAAGTCTATTTTTTAAACTGAAAACAAAAAATGCTGGACATCACAGTGGGTCAGGCAGCATTCATGGAGGAAGAGCAAGCCAGCGTTTCCTGACTGCCATCAGGAATCCATGTACCTAAACTGAGTAATGTTATAATCAATGTCACACCAAAAACAGAGCTTGCATAGAAATTCATTATGAAACAGTGACCTGACTACCTAGACTGTCTGCAGGAGTATGCAATGGAGTCCTGGATTTTGCACTTCATTCTGAAAAGAGGGAGCTAGTTGAGCTGCTTAGTAAAGAAGGCTAAGAAGTTGAGGAGTAGGATAAAGATGTAGGTTCATTATTCTGTTACTGCATCACTAATGAGGCCAGCATGTACTGCCCATCAGTAATAAAAACATCACAGACAATAATTGTGAGCTCTCTACCTACATGTGGTGCAGAGCTGGGGAGAAACAGGACACTTAGCAGCTCAAGTGAGATCACTGAATTTCTTCCAGATTCACGCAAGTGGATTTGATGTTCCTAGCATTTACCTACTCCCCCATACTTAACCACTGATTCCATACAAGGTGCCAAGGCACCCTTCCACCCTAAGGATGAAATGGCATTTCTTTCCTCCCAGGGAGCTCCTGTACCTAGTAGATAGTGCAAGGAGAGTTGACAGCTTGCTATGCATAATAACATAAGGCACGCTTTCCAACTTTGTACACGCCTCTTGCAGACATTATCAAACGCCTGTTTTTAGCACAGCACCAGTTTTGTCCCTGGCAATAACTCAGCTGTCGGGAAAAGGCACCCAAGAGAAGCTGCAAAAAGAAATGAGGAATTGAGAACACTTTATATTATTATTAATACCATCTAGGATTCCTTAAAGAGCTTATGTTGCATTTTCTTTCCAACAAAGCTATAACCAGCAGCCCTGACTTTGGCAACAGTGTCAGAAGATAAATGAGGCAATGCTTCTACCTTTGTGGGGTCAAGACCTAACCTAAAGAAATGCTTCTCCTTCTTATCTCTGGGAATG